CCATAGCCTCTTCTCGTAGGGCCTGCCCTCCTGCCCCCTGATCATGCGAGTGGCCCTCCTCTGGACCCTCTCCATGTTGTCCACATCCCTCCTGAAGTGCGGCACCCAGAACTGGACTCAGTACTCCAACTGTGGCCTGACCAGTGCCGCATAGAGGGGGAATATTACCTCCCTGGACCTGCTTGAGATGCATCTGTGGATGCATAACAAGGTACGGTTGGCCTTCCTGACTGCATCCCCACACTGCCGGCCCCTGTTCATCTTGGCATCGATGATGACTCCAAGATCCTTTTCTGCCTCTGCACTGATGAGAAGGGAGTTCCCCAGCCTGTAGGTATGCTGCTGGTCCTTCCTCCCCAGGTGCAGCACCTTGCACTTGTCAGTGTTGAATCCCATCCTGTTCTCATCCGCCCACCCCTGTAACCTGTCTAGGTCCAATTGCAGCCTATTTCTCCCTTCTAGAATGCCCACATCCCCCCACATCTTAGTATCATCTGTGAATTTGAACAGGGTGCTTTTTACCCCCTTGTCCAAGTTGCTGATGAAGATGTTGAACAGTGCGGGCCCAAGGACTGAGCCCTGCAGGACCCCACTGCCCACATCCCTCCAGGTCGAATAAGACCCGTCCACCACCACTCTGTGGGTGCGGCCCTCCAGCCAGTTAGTGATCCTTAAGTGGCTTGTATTGGGTGTGGAGAGAAGATTTAAGGTAAATTTAGATACAGATGCAGCAGGGAAGTGGTGGCTGGGCTTTATTGACTTAGCTGTTTTGCATGCATCTGAAGTTTCCTTTGCCTTGAATGTTACCTCCAGTGTGTACCAGATTTTTGGCTGTTCAGTATAAAGTGTAGAGCTCAAAATTGGATGTTTTAGTAAAAGAGCTACTCTAGTGCAAACAGGAATGAATTCAGAGATGGCCTTTGGTCTGTATGAAACAGACCAGACTTGGTGATAACTGTCGTCTCCTCCTGGCCTTATAGCTTATAATATTCGTTACAAATACTGAGGTGTAATGTTATCTCAGGCAAAAACATTTTATGGTTTTTATGGCAATCACTGTACCATATTGTCTTGGATTAAACTGAACAGTGTGGAAATTACCTTATCTATAGAGAGGTAGATGTGAGTCCTGAAGTCTGGCAAAATATCAGGTACTAGTTGAAGAATCTGGCCCAAAATGCAGAACACTGTATATAAGGCCAATTTTGGACACCAGATTAAAATCATAATGGCTATTTAAGGCCTATCTGTCATTAGAATACAGTATTCATGTAGCAACGCCACATACTAACGTGCTTTATGTATGCATTTTATGCAAGCAGATAACTGACAGTATTTTATATAATTATACAGCAGGAGGTTATTAAATTGTCCTTTTGCTGTAGAACATTTGCACAAGAGAATTGTAGAGCATATGCCATTTACTAACTAAACCACTGCCTTCTCAGCTAGGATACAAGCATGTGGTTAATATCAGTCTTACAGTAATATTTATATTGAGTAGACTGGAGCTTAAGTTGTCAACATACGTCATGTAAGCAGTTGAGCTTGGTTTCTACTACCTTCCATAGTATTTGCTACTTGTGTGATTTGTCATTATTGACACTGTAGTCCCCTAGTGAGTGACTTGTCCAGGAACAGGATCTGCCTTAGCACTTGGTGAGTTCTTGTGGTAGTTGGAGTTTGGCTTTGGATTGTTCCTTCTCTGACCCGAGAGGCACGTACCTGGTATTTCTTTTGAAATACTCTTTCCCCTCTGTTCTGTTTGGCCCTGCAGTTTGCAATTAAGCCTGTTTTAATTTAGCTTCTTTTAAACGAGCATTTTGTAACAAACCCAACACATGGTAAGTTGGACATCTACTTTTTTGATGTATCCAAAATTTGGGATGAAAATCAGTAGCATAAAAGTGAAGAAGCACATAGCCTGATGGCAGTTGTCTCTGCTCAGGCCTTCACTGACTATTGTGCCAACAGACGGCATTTTCTAGGCCTGTGAAGCAGTGTAAAATATGCATTGAGAGCTTTGTGGTCAAAGTAAACACCGATGTGTTGGGTTTGTTACAAAATGCTCTTTTAAAAGAGGCTAAATCAAAACGGTCTTAATTGCAGCACTTACATTGAGCGGGAACTGAAAATGTTGCTCATTATACACATGGTGAATCTCTGCCATTTTCCCAGCTACTGCTGTACAAGTTTTCTTCTCATCCTTTCTAGCACCAGCTTTTCTTCTGGTTTGCAATCTGGAATCATGCTGGCACTCTTTTCTGCTTTCAGCATGATTGAAGGATGTTTCTTTCTGACTTTCTCTAAACCAGCTTGGGTGATATTCCGGCAAAAGTCCACGTGGAGCGTGTGTAAAGAGCCACCGTAGAGGGTCACTGCTTCCAGAGTCTGATCAGTGATACGCACACAGTTTTCCAGTTTCAGTATCTTGAGATTTGGGCAGCACTTGAGCAGCAGCATGAAGTAATAGTCTGTGACATGGCCACATCCAGACAGGGTCAGGGACAGCAGGTTGGGGCACCTGGAAATATGGTCATTGTTGTACATGAGAGAGAAAAATATTAATCTACAGCATTTGCAAAAGGGATTGTCAAAATCAAGTTCTGGAAAAGGCAATAGATGCAAACCCTGGCTGAAGGTAAGTTGGACCCTATCTGAATGAGAGGAGGCTTTCTCATCTCTTCAGGAGAAAAGACTGGTAAGGAAACCTTTTTTCACATGTGCACACTGAAAAGGTAGAAATTAGTCTCAATCAAAACACCTTGGCTATATGGTGTATGTATAGACTTTCTATAACCCAGAAGAACTGCCTCAGGAGGGAGGGAAATAATACAAAGCAGTTCTGCTTTTTAAGCCAGTGCATTATAGAAATCCAGGTCTAATAAATACAGATGTGTAGAGTCAACTTCCCTAGTGAGTATTGTATAATCCCTGCCCAGGTGCAAGTGCAGAACTCTAGGAGGGTGTTCCTGCCAAATGCTAAACAAAAAAGCAGTGTTGTTTTTTCCACGTCTCCTCTGCCAGCCTGCAAGTGACTTGCCTAGTTTGCGTGCAAACTTAGAATATGGTAGCACCTGCAGTTTGGGACAGGTGACATTTTTGCAGGTGAGCCTTTTACCAGGTACCAGATCCCTTTACCTGAAGGGATGTTACTTTTTTGACAGATTATGCTAAGTAGTTTGAAGCCCCTGGTTTTGTTTTCTCATTTATCAGATTGGCTTAGTGACAAAGCCAACAAAGGGTCCTTTAAGCTTTGTTGTGCAAAACTTTTGTCCAGCAGCAGGTGAATTACTTTCCCAGAGCCTAAGCTGAGCTCCATCAGTTTTTTCCAAATGAAGTGCCATCCCTTAAAGCTTTGAAGGAATTGTAGAAGTCAGGAACACAGTGTAAAATGGCCCTGGTCACATTACTATAGGGCAGCAGCTGAGTTAGTGAACATGTTCCAGATCAAACGCAACCCACTACTGCAGTGTATTCCCCATAATGCCTGCCTGCTTCCTCTTTGCAAGGAGGCAACAAAACATGATCATACCAGCAGGGAGATGGATCCTTAGATGGTGCTTTGTTGTCTGCTTCTGAGGATAAAGCAGAAAAGGGGCTCTGGATGAAACTCAGAATGCTGCATACAAGGATGTGATTTGTTCCTGCCCAGAAAACTTTAGAGGTTAAGGATGCAGACACTTCACTGCTTTGTCAAGATCAATAGAACTGAAACGCTCGGCCCAGGGAGTGCAGAGTGGACCTGAACTTCTTCATTCTATGTATTTATGCTGTTGCCATTTTCTATGTGCCTTTGCCCCAGGTTTTTTGTACTGACATAACTGCACTGGTGAAGTTGTTGTAAGTTGTCAGCTGGATGGAAGAGTAATTAGGGATTTGTGAATTGGGGAAGCTAAGAGTGCCCAACAGATAATTCAGTGTCACTACAAACTGTCCTTGTTAGGTCTGCAAGAACCAAGGTTTGGTAATATCCTCTGTTGGACCAGCTGTGTAGATGGGGGAGATGTTAGACAAGTTTTGGGGCCCAAAATGTCTTTCCTCAGATCTGGAAAAAGAAAGACACAGCCTAAGCTAAACAGTAGGTAAAACAATGACTTTTGTTTAACTCCACGAAAATAGTCACTTGAAGGGGAAGAGGGCAGTATATTTGCAGAGCAAAGAGAAGGTATCACAAGTAGCTACAAACCAAGTAAAAGGCAGCTGAACTAGGTCAACCTAATTACATAAGAGACTAAGACCACTGACAAGGGAAGAGAATATTAATTTCATATGGGGTACTACTATATGCATTTAGGCCATGGCTTTTCGTGTCCAGCAAGGAGGTGAATTGTTTCCAGATGCACTGTTTGTATGTATTGCATAGGTTTTACCTTGAGTGCAAGGCCTGGGAGGTGGAATGGTTAGGTTTTAGAGTAAACTTACTGAAATGAGCAGGCTTAAGAGTTGTCAAACATTGGTTAGAGTCACGAAATCAAGTTGCCTTCAGTCCAGCAAGATTAGGTGGGAGAGAGGAGTGAATGGCACTGGCACTTAAGTTTTGTGTTGGCTTCTGAAAGCTGCCTAGCTCCCTTGCACTGCATAAGGACACCAAAGGTACCTGTTGCCACAGGACTGTGAATGTTATTAGGTACCCCACGTGCTAGGTACAGCACAGCTGAGTGCTGCATCACCTGTGTTTGTCCCCTTAGGAAGCTTGCCCGTAATTTATATATTTAAAAAAAAAAAATAAGCGGTGCACTGTTCTATAACTGGGTTGGGGAGGCTGCTGGAAATACCCTGGGTGCTGGAGCAGCAGAACTTTGGAGTAATTACAACTTGCTCTCAATCAATTGGCTAACAGCCAAACAGAGCATTGGTCTTCAAAAGCTTGTTCTAGGACGGTGATCTTGAACAGCAGCACAAATGTTGGATGCTGAGGGTCTGAAAGCAGTGCCAGTCTCCTCCTCTGTCCACATGTGGACCTGCCTCTGCCAGAAAAAGTAGTAATATGGGGATGACTTTTCAGTCTTTTGATTCTTGGCTTCCCTGTAGCTCTGGCCATGTCTCACCTGACTGTTTCGCATATAATACAAATGCACAACTGGTGTAAAATCTCCCTCATTACTATAAATTAATTATTCCTCATGGTCACAGTGTCTTCTGCAGCCCTTTATTGTCTGAGAACTTCAGAGTCCACAGTGTAAACGTGCCAGGGGTCTGGAATGCTAGTCTTACCCATAGCAATTCCCTGCTTCTGTCAAAACGCACTGACAATGGCTCTGCCTCTGCTGCGCTGGTGTTCAGCATTTGAGCTGCCTCAAAATACAAACCCAGTAGAGGGGTTAGTTTGCACTGGAGGCTGCTTTTTTTCTCAGCATTTTCTCTTCATCTGTTTGAGCCCAAAAGCACTGCACACAAAGCTCAGAAATATTTTATAACTACTGCACCTTAGCATAACCTCATGTTATTAGTTGAGGCTTAGTCAGCAGGAAACAGAGTAGCATGATATAAAAACCTAGGTCCATCAAATATTTGTCATTCATGAGAACTGGACTTTGTTTAGTGAATTTATCTCTGTCTTGCAGCTGCCAGATTTATCTATAAAGAACAGCCTCTTTTGCATAGGACCTCAGGCTTTCTACGAAAAATCTGTCCTACACAGAATGGCACCATTAAAGCCTTTTAGCATGCAGTGACTAATACCTTGGGTCAATGAGTGAGAGCCAGGCTGGAGAAAGTCAAGTCAAAATCGGTAGAAAGACATGTTACATTTGCACTTAAAACTGGGGTTTTCACATGTAACAACATAACCTTGCTCCAGAGTCAACACCGTTTGCATATGTAAAGCTCTGCACGGGGGACCATTAGTGTTCAATCTGGTAAACCCGAGCTTGCACGCTAGCTGTAGAACATACCTGTTGCAGACTTGTAATAAAAACTCATTGACGGTGTTTTCATGCTTGCTACAAATGTCTTTCTGGAATGAGCTTTTCATCCAGTCCTCAATGTTACACACTTTGACTCTGCTCGAATGCCAGCAGATGGACAAGTACTTTAAAGCTGCTCCCAAGAGAAAATTATCCTTCTTCAGTTCCACAGGAGAATGAAAACTCAGCAGGGACCACAGGGAAGGATCCTGGAACACCTCAAGCAGTCTTTGACATGTCTGTCCTAAACTTTTTCTACTGCTTTTGTCCAGGAATGAAAATAGATGCAAAAGGCACTCTCTGTTCAGCTGGGTTATATGCATAGCACTTAGAAACCGGTGCGCTCAGCAAAAGAGGACCGTGTATCTGGCAGTGTGGGCTAAAAGCAGTACTACAGGGGCCTGACCCGCCTCTGTCCTCACCAGGCTGTTGCACATATATGGTTGTGGAATGGTGTTTATTTTTGGCTGGCAACTGGTGCAGAAGTTAAAAACTGGGAAAGGATCAGCGACCCATGTGCAGCAGGCTGTTACTCTGTTTCTTGTCCTAGAGAATGGAATAGCCATAGAGAAAAGCAGAAATGGGCTCAATCTAGTGTTTCCATAAAAGGGATTATTTTCCTTTCAGTTAAGCCTGATGTTTAACACAGGCCTTGTCCTGCTTGTGGTAACTGCTCAGTAGCCAAAGCTACAAAGGAAAAGCTCTGCTCCCCTCTCTAGTTTGTGAGCTTTGGCATTCAGTGAAGTCTTCAATATGCTCAGCTGTTAATTTTCTTAGAATATTCAGTAACAGTTGAAAAGGCCCAGGGGCTTGTGTTACTACATCTGAGGCTTAAGTCCTGTGCATTATTGGCAACTTCACTAAAAGTCATGCTATCCAGTAAAGCCAGCAACACCGGCTTGTAAAACAAACTTAACTAAGATGCTGAAAAAAAGAAGTCTTAAACTACTGATAACTGATTTAAGTGTTCTAAGTACATCAAGTTGTTGCCGAAATTTTAAGTCGATGATTGTTCTTGCCTGTCTCAACAACAGTTCTCATAAGCAAGGATGCCAGTGGCAAGCTACAGTGAAATATCCGTGGCCTAAAAACACTCCCCTTAAAACCTCTCCCTGGGCCCCTCTACAAGTGCAGGTAAAGGCATAATGGGATCTAATACACGCACAGCAGGAAGCATGGTTGTAGGATGAATCATTGCATCCCATGTGTCTTATTGCCCATGCAGGGGGAGCCCAAACCTGGGGTCCCCTGTACCAGCAAGAAATAAGCTCCTGCAACTAGGATCCTGCTTATGAGCTCCCCCCCCTTTACAACCCCTGCCAAGACCCAGCCACATCCCAGCACTGGGGAGGCACATTTCTGGGACCTACCCGTGGTGACTGGGGGGAATACTGCTGGGATGCTGAGTCCACAGCTGTCAGAGCTAAGCCATCTCAGTTGCAGGGCTCCCAGCCCTGGCTGGATATGGGGCACCCCTGTAGCTGAGCGCTCCCAGCTGCAGGGGAGACCCTGCTACATGTGCAAATTCAAGCTGGTTATCCACCAGCTAACTTGCAATTTGTTGGACCTTTTTTACTTTGCACATGTAGCTGCTTTTAGTCATTGTTCAGTTAACCAGCTCATTGTGCAATATCTGTGACACCTAGAGGGCATCCCTGTTGTGCCTTTACTTGAACATGTAGAGGGATCCTGTGATAAGGTTCAAGGGGAGTGTTTTTAGGCTACATATATACCACTTCAGAGCTCCAAAAACATGCCTGATGGTTCCTATATTTCTGCATGCAACTTTCAGAAGTTTCTGGATAACCATTTCCCACTTAACCGTATTAAATTCTTTGAGCTAAAGACTTACTTCTACCTGTTAACTTTTGCCTGAAGATGTCTAGTCAGTCTTTTTTTTTCCCATTGAATAATAAGTAGGTGGCTACTGAACAGATCACATCCATGGCTAAAAATATTAAGTGGGAGACTGGTGCCATATGTTAATAGTGCTGCTCTAACAACTTTGTGTGTTGTGAAGGGCTTTTGCAGGCCCTAAAGACTATTTAATTTAAGTTAGTCTTTAGTCAAAGCCATTTTCAGCATAAACACTATCATAAAGTGCACAAAAGAGTGACTCTGAAGGCAGGACCAAAAAATGTTTTTAATTGCAGGGGGAAAAAAGCAGTAAGGTTGTTTCCTATGGGTGACCTGCAGTGGAGAAACCTTCCACACTTGAGGTACAGCCAGGGCAATATAAAAAAACAGGTTACAATGAATGCAAGGCTGAGTTTCTAAAGCAGAAGTGACAATACTGAGCAAGTATCTAGAAGCTTGGGGCTGCAGTATACAGCTGTTTGTTAGCTCTTACAAAACAACTCAATTATCTCATGCAGTGCAAGAGTTACAAGCCTAAATGTGCATCTTCTACACACATCTGATGTAAACATGACTCATTAGCATTTGCACTAGATTTGTTATAGTCCCTAATAGATTTTTTTAAAAATTGATTCAAATAAATCTAAAGTGGCCAAGAAACACATCTAAACTTGCATTTTTATAAAGGTTTGAATTGGGTTTTGTTTTCATTTGGGAACGATGATAATACTGATGGGTCAAGTTAAATACCGCCCTAGGAACTGAATTACCTCGTTGTTCTGGGAAACATGGACTTCTAAAGCTCTGGCTGTTTTTGTTTGGTGTCAAACAATAGCTTTAAAGCCATTTCTTGTGTGCTGGGTACATATATTCAAACAAATAAATCAAGGAAGTAGCAAAGAGATACTACTGGCTTGGTGTGAGAATTCAGTCAATGCTTTAATTTTTGTTGTAAGAGCATAGCTACTTCAAGCGCATGTATCTAGTAGTTTGACACAAACCTGAAGGTTAAGTGTTCTCAGTTGATTTAAGTATTTATCAACTCTGCTTTTAATCCCCATTTCATTCTTTATGGGGGAGGGTAGCATCTGTCCCAAAGCAACTAGGGCTGCATTTTTTTTTAAATGGGAGACTGGAGTTATAAAAACCTAAGAATGGACAAAGGGACAGTGGAGCCTATTTAGCACCTGAAACTACTTAATGTTTTGAAATTGCCATTAGCTAGAGAGATGGTCAGTCATTGCAAAAATGATCAAGGTGCAGGGTAGAGTCATGGCCATTTTCAAAGTAACACTTTTTTTGAAGTTCTAGGTACCCTCGTAAGGTAACTTTGTCCTAAAACAGTTTCTTGAAGTCTGAGGCATACCTTACCTTTGGTTTCTGAGGAATTTAAAGCAAGTGTTCAAACTTATTCACACACCAGTTCAGCTGCTGCCAAGTTACCCATTCCAATACTTACACCAGAAAGGGACAACTGCTACAGGGTACAGAGCTTCCTTTCAGGCATGCACAGACTGTTCATTTACATGGGAAACTAATGAGTGCAATCTGATCACTGCATTATGGTGGAAGTACTTTTGGAGTGGCACAGCTGGGTTACTTAATCTGTGCTCCTGTGCCTTTAATTCTTATTCAAAAGCGAAGAATAAGTTTAATGCATCAACACTGACTTCTGCTTACAGGTACTGCACAAAAGTCGTTTGCCAGTTTTACTGGCTCCAGGAAGTTGTGCCTTAGCATTTCACTAAAATTATGCAGAAGAGAATATGTTCTTAATGTATTGGCCATTAAGTAGCTGCTTCAGTTGTTGAAAGGAGAGTTGTATAAAAGGAAGAGAACCCCTGCCCATTTGCCCTTACTTGTGTGACTGAATCTTTGCCAGCATTATAATGTTCCAACTTCAGACTCGAAGGCTTTTAAGGAGGGACTTTTGGAATCCCAACTTGCCCAGTAAAGGCTACCCCATACTCTTTTACCCATGGACATTAACTGTGGCATGTGGGTGTAATTTGCTACATAGTGTTAGTGGAACTGACTGAAGGATACTCAATAAGGAGTGGAAGCACTGAAAGTAGATCTGATTTTAAAGAAACTTTTGCTAGTGTATTTTTTCAAAAGGCAATGGAGGAGGAGGAGGGCTGGGAGGGAAGCAGGGGACAGCTTCCCCTCAAGTCCTGGGGACAAATTCTGAAAGCCTGGAAAAGGATAGCAAAAGTTGCACATTCTAGAGAGAGGAGAGACTTTAATGGCACATTTTTCATTAAAAAAAAAACAAAACCCCACCCCACTTGACTCAAATCACCCCATTAATGCTCCAAACACAAGAGATTAGCACAGTCAATGATCCTCAATGAAACTTGCACTCTAGATTTTAATGGTAAACAATTACAGCTATGGCACTACAGTACTTGAGGGTATCCTAAAGCACACTGAAATCAGTTTAAGGTGCCAATTACCTCATCAGTGAGACAGAGACACATCAGTAATGAAACATCCTTGGGGAAACTTGAACACAAGCATCACATTTTCCATCCACTTAACAAAATACTTACAGATGGCCTTGTGCCTTTGATAAGTCCACTCAGCCCCAGCTGCCTTGGATAGATCCAAGCCTATACCATCAACCATTGACATCAATAATCATTGGGAAAAGCATCCTCTAAGCATGTTTGCAGAAGGAGCCCATACTGAAACTGCCTTAGAGCATTGCTTGGGGCAGCTCCCCACCCAATGCACTGAAGTAGGAGTGTTGGATTGGGAATGCTGCAGTTCTGTTTCACAGATTAAATTTCCAGTTGTATACATGGCAGAACAATGAACAATACAAGGACAACCTTCTACTGAGAAAGTCTGAGGGGAAAAATATGCAAGACTGAACTGCAGAAAGCAATTGTTGCTTGCAAAACACTGTCACCAGCTGGACATCCCTGCCAGTTATATACACTAAGATCAGCAGTGATTTAGAAAAGAAACCGATTTGGCTTAAATGAAATAAAATATCCCTCCCCTCCCAGAAGCCAGTAGATAAATATAGGCTATACAAGTAAGGATAAAAATTTAATAGTAGGCCAGGTGCAGTATATGTTACTGGTTCAGTGCTCAGTTATTTTTGACACTACACACTGAATAGAATACAGTGTATAAGCAAAGTTCTCCACCAGGAAGAGAAATACGTGTGTTGCCACAACAAACTGCTTATACTGTCCATCTGTGTTTGCAGTGGGAGAGAATTAAATTAGGAAAGGATTTATGAAGCTATTTGTTCCAAAGAAACATGGCTGAATCTGTATCAGCACCTGCTTCAAGAACAAGATATGACATGAGTGTTCTTAGGACCACGTCCTGAACAGAATATGCTGCTGGTTATGTCAATTCATTTATGTTACAGGGGAAATGTGCATGAATAGTAACTGGACAAAAGAAAATTGATGTCCTATGACAAACAGAATCTGCTTTTAAAATAAGTGAATAATGTTGATGAATATTACAAATTTAAATTCCTATAAAAACAAAAAGGCACATTTACATCACTGAACTGTGGGAAACTAAATTTGCAGAGTTAAATTCTCTGACCAGTTTGGTTACTACAAGGTTTGAAATGAAGCAAAAACACTAAATTTCTAGAGCAATCCAAGTAGCATATAGACATGGCTCAAATTCCAAATTGAGTCCAAGCAGCATATGCTCAACCCCAACATTACATTTTTAAATTGACAGTTAAAATTGTTTTAAAGGACCCTTTTTTTTTGTCCTGATGGAGTCTGCCAATTACTGTTTTATTGTGTGTAAGTGATAAGGGCTGCCTCTTCTGTACACAACATAATCCTGGATGCAAGAATCTGAAAGCAGTAGTTGACAAGCTGTCTACAACTTGTAGCAATGAATAGCTCTATTTATTGTTCAACCTTAAAAAAAAAACCCAAAACCAAAAACAACATCTTTGTATATCTGTCACTTAACATATCAAATGCTAGTCACATTAGGTTCAGTAGGGATACAGTTTACATCTTCATATACAATTTAGCAATATTGAACACTTTTGTTGCTTTATACAATGCCAATTTTTTTCCCTAAACAGTGAATGTGGCAGTTATGGATTCATAAAGCAATCAGAAAAGGGCCATGTCTTATACACAGGCAGCTGGAAACCTCCTCTTGATTCAAGACATAGATGCCATATATATCCACATTCAGAGAATCCTGCTGCTGCCTAATGTTTCCCTCAAACAGATCCAGCTACAGCAGGGGCAGGCAATTATTTTGGGCAGAGGGCCACTTACTGAGTTTTAGCAAGCCATTGAGGGCCACATGACAGGCAGCCCAGGGCAGATAAATATTAATTTTCTAAATTTTATAAGGGCCCCGCGAGCCAGGTGGAATGGCCTAGCAGGCCGCATCCAGCCCCTGGGCCGCATTTTGCCCACCCCTGAGCTACAGGAAGGGCAGGCACATTTCTACTCAATGTTGAAGTGGTTACAGACAGGTCTGGTTATACTTAATCACCATGAGTAAGAGGTTCTGGTTGGTTGGACTTGGCAGGAAATAAGCCTTAACCCTTGTCAGTCAGGAGTGTGGTCTGCATTGATAATCAGAGTGGGGGAGGGGAACCTGACAAAAATCACTAGTCAGTATACACTGAATACAGACACTAATAGCCTCTCTTCCACAATCCACCAGGACTCTTCCCCAACAGTCTCGCTAAGGAAGAGTGATACAAACTGGACTCCTCACACTCCCAGTGCAATTGAAAGTTGAACTAGTTAAAGGGATGAATATGTTAGGGTTCAGTTTACATTTCAGCTTACAAAAGTGGATCCTGGCTCCCCCTTCATTAGAAGACTAACTGCTGAGTTAGTAATTGCATGCCAGGTACAACCTCCTGAGTCCCAACTGTAGTTGGTGTGTGGTACCACTGCTCTTCTCCCCTCCCATCTTCCACCTGAGTCTGACCTAGGTATAGTGTGCCTTTTGCAAACCATCTCCAAACATTCTGGTCTTTCAGTCCTAAAAAGAGCCTGCTGATTTTATCAAGCTGGATAGGGATTCTGTTGAGACCGAACCCCAAGAATGAGGGTGTGTTCAGTCCTGAACAGGAAATACTTTCAAAGCTAGTATATGTATCAAACTTTGCGGTACAGGTTAAAATTAAGAAGTCTCTAAAGCAATTCAGCTTCAATTTAGAAGAAGAAAATTGAATCCCCACACAATTACAAAAACATATGATTAGGATAATAATTTAAATGTCTTTTTATAAAGGGGGAAAAGTACAGATGAGAAACATTTGAATTAATTGGCAGTACAGATAAAACTCACCCAACTAAGTATACACATTGAGTCCTGAAAGACAGCAGCCTTGTATACACTGATAGCAGCAATTACCTGGGCTATTTAATGATGCCACAGCTCCTCTCTTCTGCAGGCAAAAAATGATTGTTCAGAGGTCACTTAAGTTTCTTACACTGGGGCAAATAGTATGTGCAAGCAATTCCTTGATTTACAGAGATTCAACCTTGTCTACATAACAGCTGAGAGAGCAGCATGGAGTTCTATTGCTCTTCGTAATCAGGAACACATTTATCTTCCTTCTAAGGAGGATAGAAAGCGTCTCTGATGTAAATGTGCCTTTAGAAAGTGAGAACTGAAAACATTAATATAAAAAAGTCAAATAGCTAAAGTAGTTCATGAAACTATATATAAAATTGAGTTATCACAACTAAAGCAGCAAATCAATATCTGCTGAGGTTTTCTGGTATAACTAAAAAAGTTAGTTTGTGTCCAAGTTCAATAAGTCAAATGCTACCATTGACACAACAAAACTAAAACCCACAAGAGGAAGTTGAAAAGTGCACAATGAAATTAAAAGTCTTGGATCAAGTATTTATGGAGAATTGGAAATGTTTTGTCCTGTGGACTTGATAAGTGAGGCTGAGAAGGAGGTATTAAAGTTTATCTGATCCAGATTTGGCCTGCCGCTCCACATAGAAGAGGATGTAGGCCTTTGCCTTTACCACGGTCTCTTCATCAGTCAGAGTTACAGTACTGTCATTGAAGTGGAACCAGCGACCTTCATGAGTTGCATATGCAGTATAATGTCCAGAGCCCACACTGAAAGCAAACAGACAAAACAGATGATTTGCCATGAGGTTTCATACAAGTTGTGGTCAGACAGATTTGGACAAGCTCCCCCATTCCCAGAATGCTGATGGAGAACCCAACACGCAGATGGGGAAAATGGTGTTCCAAGCTGTTAAAGAGTGACAGTATGAATAAGGACCAATAGCTCCTTTTGGAACTTCTTGTTTAGGTTCATGTTGTGAAATCTCAGCAGCTTTTGCAAGCAAAACTCCTGTGGAACTTCACTGCATATAAAGGACCAGACCCACTAGCATTTAATGGAACAGCCAGCCTTCAAAACACAACAAAGGTTTACTAAGTTTTGGTATGTAGCTTTATGCTCACAATTCCTTCTGAATTATATTCTAGAAGAACCTGGATTGAGTGATACAGTTTCAAAGATGCAGGGGAAGATTAATCAAAAACATCCACAACGAACACAAATCACAACCTATGAAAGGGAAAGTAACTGAAATTGGTTTTTATAGACATGCAACATCTTGAAGCCACAGTAAATGTAAGAGCCAGGAAAAAGCCCACTTTCATTACTCCTGTCACCATAAAACAAGGCCAACTCTTACTTGCCTGACTAAAGGTTGCTTCTTATACTGCATCATAGTTTCCAACCACATTCAGCTTACATTGCTGTCCATTACAGCTATATTCTATTTTCTGATTGCTTTGAAGCAGCAACCACAAAACTACTGTTGTGGTCCTAAAGAAGGCTTCCTTTTAAGCCATTTAACTATTACTTCAAATTCAGATCGTTCTTTAGAGAATGACAAGGGCAGCCTGCCAGAGTGCTCACTGTTAAATACATTCTTAATTGTGTCACCCTAAACTCAGCCTAAGGTAGGACAGAAAGGATTCCAGAGCTTGGCTGAGTTTCTTCTAAGACCTCTTCCCACTGCAACTCAATCCTGGTACTTCCTATACTCCTAGGGGAAGGAGGGAGTCATCCTACTGCTACTCCTGATCCTCATATAACCCAGTAAGGGTTGCAACAATCTCTTCAATTCAAAGCAGGACACTATCCAATTCCACACCACTGGGAATAAGCTTCTGCTTCACTCCTGTGAAAGAAAATGTCAGGCAAGGAGTACAGCTGTCACTCTATCAAATTAAATCTACATTCATTCCAGCTGAGCATACTTCCTTAGCATACATGTGCATGTAACAGGATGTTAGGGCTAGCCAGCTTGGGCCAAGGTCTGCCCTGCTGAGGTCAAGCATTAGATGAACAAGCTAGTTTGCAGCTCTGCTTGGATAAATCACAGGACTGGGGGATAACCCAAGCCCTGAGGGACTGTGTACTGGGAACCACCTGTCCAGGCATTTAAGGCAAGTTGGTGGTAACAGTCAGGCTATTCATCCCCCTGTGTTCAACTGGTCTCATGGTTCCTGCTATTAGTCCAGACCTCCAGCTTGCCACCCAGTCTCAACCTTTAGACCACCCATATCCCATTCTGTTACAGTAGCTCCTGGCCCTCCAGTCTGCCTCCTGCTCCTACATTTTGGTCCGAAGCAGTGGGCTGGACCACCAAGAAACATGGATGTGCTTGGTAAGTGGCAAAGTGAACCATCAGTTACTGATGACCCCATAGGGCTTGCTCAATTAAATACTTACAAGTAGCTCTTCCTTCCAGTTGGAAGGTAAGAAAGGGCCTGGGCTTACTGTCACTGTATTAGATCTCCAGTATTTGCAAAAGGGATAAAAGTGGAGATTTGCAACAGTCTTCTGGTATATTTACCAGCAATGTTAAGTGGCAGAATCCCTACTGGAATATAAAAAAACAAACAAACCTATTCTTGGTTTCTTCTGGTAGCAAAGATGTAAACATCCACTGACAGTTTGTTCTTTACCCCAAAGAAGTCAATGGCAGTTCTACCACTGGTTTGATTGAAGCCCTAAAAAGAACAGCTTCACTCACTGTACTCACCCTGAACCATGATGCACAACAACTGCTGCAAGATCATACAGGCAGCTTTCTGGGCCGCTGTTTTCTGGCTGCAGTTAAAACAAGAGAAAACAACTCTTTAGAAGTGAAGTGGCAACTGCTCCAAACCAATTAAGTTAAACAGAACAGGTTTCCTGGGTATATAACAAGTCTCCGTACCTCTAACAAGTAACATTTCATATCTAGACCTCGAAGGGGAAATTCTACGTATGTATCCACCTTGTTCCTCAGATATGCTGTCCAGTGAAATCGTTTCAAGTGTAAGCATAGCACCTGTAGGATTAAAACACATACAGGACAGAGTTCCTTATGATGAGTCTTTGAACAGGCTGGACTTAGTAGTGGCTTTTTTACTACTTAGTAGTAGTACTTTTGCAGTAGTTATTACTGCTGGAGACCAGGATAGCTTAGTTCTTAAAAGATCAGTGTTCGCTAAGACTTATCAAGAAACTGACACTTGCACTAACCTTTGGTAGTTTCTGAATCCAGAACTTTTTGGTGGACTTTTGTTTCTTTTTACATTTGTGGCACATATAGAGCTCCGTCTCATCAAGTTCTTCCAGGTCTGTAAAACTGCGAAGACAATCTAAAAAGAGAACAGATTCAAACACTTGTTACAGTTCTTTAGAGCTACTAAAAACCCACTTAACACACAAAGCTTTTAATAAACACAGGATGTTACAACCTGAAGAAAATGTGACGCGTCTGCAAAAAACAAAACCATTTTGGATCATTTGTTGGGTGTATCCAGCATTGCTTACATAACAGGGAAATTTAAAAAGTTTGAAATTTCATCTTTGATGGTTTTAATGTTTGTTGCATAATTTTACTTTTGTTAACCTCATGAGAAGAGATTTAAAAGCAATTCAAGAATAAAGGAAATACATAGCAGAAACATAAATGGAATCCCTCTCAAACAAGATTCCTTCTCTCTCATGGCTGGAATTCATATTTAATTGGATGCACTTTGGTTGCTCTTGATGATTACATTAACAAGCAGTACTTTGTCAAAGTGCTGGAGGGGACAGAAAAGAAAAATTTCATATGGCTATTAAACATACATTTACAAATCATAAGGATGTGGATTCTTTACTTCCCATCCCCCTCAGAGAAAAAGGGAGTCAATCTATCACTACTTCTCATCCTCAAATCAAAGTCACAGGATTACAATATTGCCCAATTACTTCGTTAGTTTTTAGAAGCCATTTAACAGACATTGCAAACAAAAGCTATCCCTACTGTGTAAGAGGCATGTTGCCAAGACTGCTGCTCAAACACAGAATCTTAAGTACTAACGTGTGCACGTGCGTGTGAGACAAAGACAAATTGGAGGCTTCTGTAGTTCTTAGTGGGCAGGTATCCCCATCACAAGATGTCCTTGTTACTCATCTCCTTAGAGGGCCAAAGGATTGAACAGATAGAGAATGAAAGACCTCTTCCCTATATAAATCATTCTTGAAGCACAATGTCTAGGCAGGTCCTGATGGGGGAAAGCTTGTGCTTGTAGTATGGTCCTATAAATTTAAGGTGGTTAAATGGAAAAAATCAGGTCCCAGAGCTAGTGAACTCAGCTATTTTAAAAAAAAAAAGACAATACCTTTAAAGTCATCTGTTAATTAAGTCTTGCTGCATGTGCTCAAGATTGTCTTTATGCACTTTAGCCAAGAAAGTAAGAGATGTTCAAGTATACAAGAGAAGTCTGTTAACTATGCACCTCTGCTTTAGTGAAAGGACATGAGCAGTCTTGCACTTGGGACAGAGTAATTGAACGCAGAAATAAAGCCTGTTGAATGAGTGGCTAGGCTGTAGTACTGCAGAGAAGGACTTAGGGGTTACAGCAAAAAGCCCAACAGTATACTGGGTTGCATCAACAGGAGTATCGCTTACAAATCAAGAGAAGTGATTCTTCTGCTCTATTCAACACTAGTTAGCACGGTGTCCAGTTTTGGGCCCCAAACTTCAAGAAAGATGTGGACAGATTGGAACAAGTCAGTGCAGCACTACAAAAATTATTAGAGGCCGTTCAATAACCTCAAGACTTTCATTAACCACGTGACTTGTGAAGAAAGGCTGAAAAGGCTAGGGTTATTAGTCTGAAGGGAAGGCCAAGGGAAGATGTGACAAATCTTCAAATACCCAAAGGGTAATCATTACAGAGAAGACAGAGATGGACTTTTCTCTGTGGTTGTAGGGGATAGCACTAGGTGTGATGTGCTCAAGATGCAGCAGAGGAAGGTCAGATTGGAAATTAGGAGCAATTTTCTGACTATGAGGGTAGTCAAACATTACAACAGGCTACCCAGAAAAGTTGTGGAATCTCCAGTCCTATGTTTTCAAAGAACATGTTGGACAGACACTTGGTTGGGATGGTTTAATCAGGGATAATCTTGCTTTGGGGAGGGGGCTGGACTACAGGACCTCATGAGGTCTCCCTCAGACTTACTTTCCTAGGACCCTAAAGTCAAGACTAAGCTGTAGCCGTTCTGGAAATAGCTAAGTCTGGACTCCAGCTGCTAGTAAAGTTCTTACTCAAATTCACTATAACATTTCCGAAAAATAACTGAATGATACACAGTCACAGCAGTCAGATTATACCCAATTTGGGTGATATCTGATTTCCACTGAACTCAGTGGCTAAATTCCCATGAACCTTCACTGGTCCAGAATCTTGCCCTCCAGGAAATCTTACCCCTTAGTGTGCACGTTGGTCCATTTTCTTGGTTCTTAGTACGTTTATTTCTGAATTGACTTGGAATATCTAGTGAGAGGTCTAGAAAATAAAGAACCAAAATGAATCTCTCAGCACTCATTAAAATACTACCATGCAAAACCCTATCATCTAGGTTGATGAAGACTCAGAGTTTTACTATAAAGTTGCATAGCAGTTTGTTAGATGAAAGCGAGAAAGTAAAAAAGAGAAAGAGAAAAAAAAAAAAAAAA